AGATCCAGGAAAGTATAACTTCACGCCTCGCCTCTTCCACCTGACTGCCTCCTCTGGGAGTTTCCAAGCCGAGGAGCTGCAGAGTCCGATGCAGATGCCGGGGCTTGTGATGGCAATGCCTTTTGTCCAGGAGAGCCTATACAGTGTACCACAACCAGGTGAAAACAGACACAAAAGAAACTAAATTCATCTTATATTCAACTCTGCTTTTCAGCTTCTCACCTCTGTCATTTTATCTGCAAAATAAACACATTTAAAAAGTAACAGAAAATTGCTTCCCCATACACTCATCTATTGTTTAACTTCATCTATCCCCCTCCGGCCAAAAACATCAATCTAATGTAATTCCACTTCATTGCCCAATTTCCCTCTTTGTTGTCTGCGTGCCAGCTCTGTTCCTTCTTGACAACCGTCTGGAGGTCTACTTGTGGCAGAGAGGTCAGCCTGAGCAGACTGAGAGCTCCTCAGCCTGGAGACTCTGGCATCACGAGAGGAAGTGTGCCATGCAGACAGCGCTGCAGTACTGCAAAGGTAGTAAGAACTGAGGGAGAGGAGTTGGTTTCATGCAGAACTGCCTGGAAGTAAAGGTACTGCCGATTCTTGATAAGTTTTAAAATGTATTGTTTATTCTGTATCCCAGAAATAAACCAGAGAAGGCCGCCGCATGCATATCTCATCCTCGAGGGGGCCGAGCCTCTCACCTTCACTAATGTCTTCCCGCGCTGGAAGAAAAGCCTTGAACCTCATGCACAGGTATGAACATGTTTATCCAGAAACGAGCTCAAATATTATAATTTGGTTTAATTTTAACAACCTCTGACTCTTGTCTAATCAATATTTCTTCCCACTTTGTGAACATTAAAAAGCATTCCTTTTTAGGGCTCATGTGCAAACTTTAACTGTGTCATAGAAGAAGGCGACCTTGTAGCATCTAAGATAAGTTAGCCAACGAGCAGCACCTTTTCCAACCAAGATCACAACACTGTGTGTTTGGTACTTTAGATTTAATTATGCTCATCACAAATGATACAGAGGTTGGATAAATTCATAATTCATGTTGATGTCTGGGGATAAAAAAGATTCATTGCTGAATAACCTGCAAAGCTTTCCTTCTTTCACTCTTATTTTATTGCCTTGTCCTTACATCACAAGTCTCAAAATGACTATAACACTAAGGAAGTGAGGGTCTAATTGTTCCTTAAACCTCATTTATATAAGAAATATTAAGACTAAAGTTGCATAAGTACCACGTGTCAGTCACAGGTCGAATGTGGCAACACAAAAAAACCCCCACTGGTATTTGGCAAAAAATTGTTTGTCAGTAACTGAGGTAACAAATGGCTTAAATACATCTTCAAGCATTGTGGAAATTTGCAGAATACACATTTAATGTCTATTTTTTTTGCCATGTTTCACTCCTTGGGTGTGACTCAGGGTGATACAGGGCGAGCGAAGCTGACCTTGGTGCAGGACGCCCTGGCCCAGCTCATGAAGACCCAGTATCCTCTGGAGGAGCTGCTGCGGAGCCCCCTTCCTGAAGGAGTGGACCCCCAGCGCCTGGAGGTCTACCTGTCCAATGAGGACTTTCAGGTAAACTGATGGATGATGTCACCAGCTTGCAGTGATGTCCCCTAACCAGCAGGCTTCAGCCTTCACCAGATTTTTCCGAATGAAAATGCTGAAGATGCTCTCATGTTTATAAGCTAATGATAAATATAGAGCGGAAGTTTTGCCACAACTTTAATGTTTACATTTGTATTGGATTTAAAAATTGATTTCTACTTTGTCTCCTCCATAAATAAATTACTTCAATTATGTTTCAGACTATTTTGGAAATGAAGAGAGATGAATATGCCTCCCTCCCAAGCTGGAAGCAAATTGATCTGAAGAAGAGCAAAGGGCTGTTTTGTTAGACAATGAAATAAACTGGAGGCTGACTGATGCTGTGACAGCAGAGACTTCCTTGTCTGCTGCGAAAGGAAAATGGCATGGGGGGACATAAGAACCATGTTTCCACACAAAGAATTGCTCACAGCATAATAAAACTACAAAGAGATCACTTTTATTTATGTCAAATTAGTGTGTGGACTTTTTATTGGACATTCTTTAAAGCTACCAAATGGTTGAGAGAAAAAAAAACTTTTTTACTGTCTGTACAAATCAGTGAAAGATAATAAAAAAGGTTATATGGGAGTAAAATAAAGACATCAGTAACAAACATTGGAAAGAAAACATAGGAGTGCTTACAAAAAAGATTAATGCTAATAAACAATGTAAACAGACAAAAAAAAAGGCTAACCACTTCCTAAATGTTTCCTCCTTGATCAATATCTTTCCATCAAAATGTTCTGAGCTGCAGTTTTTCCTCAATTTTGATTCTCCTTCCCTACATAACGATTGCCCCAAGAACCTTGAAATAAGAGTGTATGGCATTGTAATCTGTGACGTGTACTTTACAATCATGTGTCACACTGATGTGTTCATTTCTCTGGAAGCCTTGTGTGCACAAAGCTTTGTGCCATGTGTATTGTAGCTGTGGCCAATGTGCTCATTGTGGCTGGGAGCGATGCCTTATTAAGGCTCCTTGGGGATTCACTATTAGCTATGCATGAAGGGACAGGTAGACATGCTCCAATAACGTCCCTTTAGCTCAAAGCAACACGCTAATTCAGTTTCACCTCAATCAACACACTGTTCCAAACATCCTCATAACACAGCAGTACACAAAGACATACTGTATCTCTCAATGATGCATGGAAGCCCATTATTTATTAAAGGAAAAACAATCTATGTAACACATGTACTGCTTAACAAATTTTGATGTGAATGTGTCAGTCTACCCACTGTTTGTGTTTTTCTTTTTTCTTTTTTTGTAGTATACACAGAAACTGATGCTACAGCAATTTTTTGTTATTTGTTTTTAAGATATCACTCTCAGGTTGGTTCATTGTCCAACCTGACATAAAAAAACCAAAAAAAGACCCTAAAACAAAACAGAAACAAGAGTAGCAAACAAAAAGAACCCCTAGTATTTTGTTAACATGATCACATTGACAATGCTAGCATGCTAATATTTAGCATAATGTGGCTGCGTTCGAAACACTTTTTTTTTTCTTCATTTTGTTGTCGGCATTTCTTGACTTACTGTCTAGCAATGACAAAGTCCAGAGTCACTGGAGAGAAAATGCTAACATGCTAATAATAGCATGCTAATCTTTGCTAATTAGGCTAAGATTTTTTCCCCATCTAGAGTAATTTATATTTTACAATATGGCTCTACGTCAACAACAACTTCCACAGAAAATAAGGTTCCTAAATGACAACCGACGAGATTGAGTCCGACACTGAACAATGCAAAGTGATGTGCATATGTGCAGCAACTGTAACAACAACCTTAAACATCATGTCCTATGCAAGATTTGCTAATATATGTATAATAGACAAACAGACCGCAATAGTGGGCTGGCTTGAAATCAGCCATTCTTGGCCTGTGTTTGATAATCATCTTATACCAACTTTCATGGTAAGTTGTTGAGGAATCTCTCAAGAATAAGTCAAAGAATTAAAACATTGTTTGGGGTCTTCTACAATATGTCTGTACATGTTTCTTTTTTGCCAAACAAAGTACTGAGAGCTTAATTGTAAGACCAGCATTGCAATATCTGAATTTATATTAATATTTGCCAGTGTGGCTAGAAACTTTCAAGAGGAAGAAACACAACTAGAAGAATCTTTTTCTGTGGTAATAATATCTAAATCCTTTGCTGCTGATCTTAGAAAATTCACAGTTGGGTGATTTTTAACAGCATAAGAGTATCTGAGGAATTTAAAAAAAAACAAAACAAAAAACCTCCACGACTAGCTGACCTCCAAAATTGGAACCATCTCGGGTTAGTCTTCAATTCACCCAGTTTGGGTTCACTGGCTAATGGGTATTATTTTCCTCAAAATAGATTAGCTGACTAAGCCACCATGTGACTATGCAGACCTAGTTAGGCTGGATTTAGGCCTACCACTCAGTGATGGCACACTCAAAGACATTTCCAAAGACATTCTGCTGTAAAAATATCTGCTGTAGGGTTACATAAAAATGTCTGTGTGTCAGCCTGAGAGATCTACTTTGAAAATATCACTATGCAGGTGTAGTAGGGTAGGTGTGTAGGTGTAGTAAAGTTACTTTAAAAATATTTCATGGTCCTTGCATCTATGATCACAACCTTTTATCTGGAATGAATAATGAGTTTGGGTAGTGTGCCTTTTTGACTCTTCAGACGAACCAGGTGGTTTGCTTTAGATGGCCTGTTCTCTCTGAGCATCAGCTACAGGTATGCATCGTTCTGGTTCAGAAGCTAGTGCTGCTTCTCGCAAAACCACCATGTGATCTTCCGCCGCATGGAGTGACTGGTCGATCCAGTCTAAACTGCCGGACATGTGACAGGCGTTGCGGGTGACCAGGACCAGGTGGCTGACAGAAAGGAGGAGAGCGGTGGCCCTGAGAATGAATAAAACAATCATATTCAAATCAGTGAGCTGCTGAAGGAAGAAAAGCATTTTTATCCCAACCTCTATCATCCATTTGGCCATCGCCAAAATTATTACAGATAAATCAAGTCATGTTGTTGCTCCCTCCTGGCTTCTTCAGGCACGTAACTAATCACTGAAGCTGAAAGTCTTTTGCATTAGGCTATCGAAGTCACACCTCTCTGGAAAAATAGATCAAATTACCTGGCATCCAAGAGGATTGGATCCAGGGGAGGGTACATAGATCTGACTACGTCATCCACCCTGTGAGACGGACAACGATAAAAGACGGTCAGTCCATCTTAGTTACGAGATAAAGTTATAAAGAGTGTATCACGTTACCTTGGGCTGATCCGCTTAGCCACAGTGATAATATCACTCAGGCTGGCTGGTGCTTTAACTTTTGCCCCTGAGCCCATCGTCATCGCAACCAGCTTTTCAGTCAAAGTGTGGCAGATCTATATGTGGAAGTAATTGTAACAGCAGCAGTTAGCCAAGTTAATAACATCTAGCAATTAGAAAATTACATAAATGTCATTAAATCTCAATATTTAACTTTAACTTTGATGCTTAGTAGACAACAAGTTGCTATTGTGGCTTAAACGAACGGGAGCTGACAGCCGAGACATTCTCAAGTCAGAAAACCCTTCAAGACTTTGATATGCCTACTTAATCTGAACAGACATATAAATTAAAGTTAGAGCTAAATCAGTAAGTTAAATATTTCTGTTACCTTCAGGATAGAGATACAGTGAGACACCAAACCACTGTTGGAGAAAAGAAAACTCAAGAAATTATTTGCAATCCCTGACAGAAAACAGTACATGCATAAAAGCTGTAAACTTCTATAGTTCTACAATGACACGTGTAAGACATACGAGGCATCCTCTATCCAGTCCTCATTCTCTAAGATTGCTTCAATGTGAGGGTTAGTGATGACTACATCATCCAGCTCCAGCTCAGAAGGTTCGCTCTGAGTCTCCATGGCTCCAATCAGATCCACTGTGGGCCTGTGAAACAACAGAAGTAAGATTAAGCTGAATAAAAACTCATTACAGCAGAGAGAAACTGCAGATTGGGGATTATTTAGTATTTACATATATGTGTTGCAATATATCAAAACACTTTTTAAGAAATAAGAACTTTTTAAAAACCAAATGACTAAATGCTGAACAGACACAAACATGTCCCTTAAAAGGAGATATTCTACTCCGTAAATCAGATTTAATCTGATTAAAGTGATTAAATGGTGATGGACTGTTATTAATTTAAATCATATTAAATTCATTTGTTAAGGCCAAATTATATTCCTACATGCCTTGATTATTATGATGAAAGGCTTGATTTACACTTACCACACACTTTATTAGATAAACCTCTTCAACTGCTTGTTAATCCAAATATCTAATCAGCCAATCACATGATTGCATTGCACCCATCACTGCATTTAAACATGATCAAGACGACCAGATGAAGTTCAAACCGAAGACCAGAATGGGGAAGAAAGGTGCTTTGAGTGATAATGAACATGGAATAGTTGTTGATTCCAGGCTGGCTGGTCCAAGTACTTTAGAAACCACTGTTCTACCGGCACTTTCTCACATTACCATCTTTAGGGTTTACTAAGAACAGTTCAAAAATTTTTAAAAAAGGGAAAATATGCAAGTATTCTCTGGAAGAAAATACATTGTTGCTACCAGAAGTCAGAGGAGACTAGCCAGACTGTTTTAAGCTGACAAGAAGGCAACAGTAACCCAGTTAACTACTTGTTACAATCGTGGTATGCACTCAACATATGGGCTACAGCAGCA